GCCTCTAGCTCTGAGGAAGACCAGTGAAGGACAGCCCATTGCTAGAGAACAGAAGATGGTAGAGGTGCAAAAGCAAATCCCTTTGTAAGAGTAAAACATCTTTATTATAGTTTCTTTCTTTAAATCTTATCTGTGTAAAAATAAATAAAAACATGCTGACAAACTGGTTTAGCAGATGGTGTGGTTAACAGAAAAAGATCAATGCACTGCCTTCCTATAGTCATTTCTTTCAGTCTCAGACAATTTATACTAAATTAGCCCAAGGCAGATCTTTACCAACGCAGAACTTATAAACAGCAAAGTAGCTGCTAAATGCTCCAAGATAAGAGGTTGGGTAGGGGGGAGACTCATCAACTGTTTGATGGGCACTGAATTCACCCAAGTCTTCTGCAGCTGTGGGAGAGTATAACTCATTCACCAGTTTGGAAACTCAAGAACAGTGAAAAGAAAATAAGAAATGTTGGTGTAGGGGAAGAAACAGACACAAGAGGAATGCTGAACTTTACAGTCATAAGCAAAGATAGGACCAAATGCAACTCTGCTGTCATATCAGTTACAAATGAGACAGCAGTGACCATCAGAAAGCTAAGCTCTAGCCATCTGGAATATATCTTCACATGAAATACAATTAAAGTCCAATAATCTTCCCAGTGCTGAGAAGTGGACAGTATAAAGGGAAGGAACAACACAAAACATTTAAGTTTTAGAAGGAATAAGCATCACGAGAAAGAATGGAGTTGTCTGTACTGATTTTCTGTACAACCGTTTTCTTCCTTCTTTTGCTACTTCCAATTAAGATTAATAATTGTTTCCAGGGGGAAAAAAAATATTTAAAAGAAGAGAACTCATAAGAAACAGCTTAAAAAGGAATGAGCACTTTCAGTTCCCAAACAGCTAACTTCTATGCGTCTTGGGGAAGAAATACACAGGTTTTGCCCTCTCATGCAAATACAACACTTTGCTTTGAGTCGCTGTTTTAAAGTGAAAACTAAAGACCACCACTTCCCAAAACAAGTTATTTTCCAACTCTCACTGTACTACTTGTGGGATTTTTTCCCCCTCAAAACCCAAGAAAAATGGATACAAAATCTTTCCCTAAAATTTATTGATAAATCAGTTTAAATTAAACAAATAAATCATACTGAAATTAGTAAAAAATTCTTGAAAAAGCAGGAGTAGGGATTATCTTGCAACAGTATTCCCAGACAAGAACTGCTTCAGCAGCCTCACAGAATTAACAAGGAGTATAGATATCCATCTGGCTTAATTATAACTCCCAAACAGACCTCAGACCTACTACCACCTCATGCAATGACTCATCTTCAAGATGTCAAAAACTATGCAATACCTCACAAAACTCTCTAAATACAACTTGGACCACCATCTGCTTATTTAGATGCCTGAGGCCTCAATTTCGTAGCATCTGAACTTTTCAAGTCCTTCCTCCTCTAAGACCTACAGCCCCATAAATCCAGCAGCTTCTGTCCCCAGAGCAGTTGTGCCTGTTTTCCTGCAGCCTGGTGAGAACAGACAGGACTCAAGATAATTAAATAAAAACACAGGAACTTCATTATTTATTTTAAAGGAAAATGTGTTTTCTAGGAAAAAAGTCCTTTAGTTGGGCAAATCTGTAAGCTGTTTATCAGCTTAAACTCATTATCTGTCCATATGGTCTTAGCACTCTGGTTTAAAAAAAAAAATGGGCACGCACTAGCTGATGAAATGTCATCTGCCCTTATGCCAGAAACTAGTATTTTTTCATTGATGTCAAATTAGGATCCTTGCCACAAGTGAAGGGCTACCATAAGAATAGTCATAATATTTTAACTATGAAGAGATCTTTCAGAAGGCAGCAAGGAAGGCAGGGGCAAAGCAAGAAAACCCATTCACAAAAATACAGTCACTTAATTCACATTTTGCCTCTGCTCTGATTCTGATTTTTGGGGGAGATAGGATGGGAAGAGAGTAACCCAACTTAAAAAGAAAAAAAAAAAAGGCAAGGCAATGAGAGGCTAAAGCCAATAAACACACTTCAAAGTATGAGATGGCTCTGCTTCAACTGCCTACAGTATTCAACCTGGGATAGATTAAGCCAAGACAATAGGTGCTAGGAGGGAAAATACTACCCCTACAGCAGTGCAGATCCTCTCCCTCACTTGCTCAGCGCTAATAACTGAGATCCCAGCCAGTTCTGCCACACTGAAAGTGGGAAGGGCAAATGATAGACCCAGTTTTGCAGAAACCCAAATTTGACTCCCATGGTCTGCTGTTGGGGATTAGCTCCATGCAGCGAGCTGGTCTGAAGGCCTTCCCGCTCCCTCATTGAGTCACTGCAGTGAAGCAGTAGCTGAGTTTATTGATTCTGTGAGTCATGATTAGCCATGGGACATGCGAGCAAAGGTTTAGCACAGGACATTAAACCTGACTGAGCTGTCAACTTGGTTATTCCAAGGAGAGAGAAACAAATTGAAGTCACAGTAACAGATGTTTCTCATGTTTTATGAACTGCAATATTATTACTGGTTGCAGATACAGTTTCTGCCTTTTAAAACAGACCTGCAATGGTGTGTGTGTGAAATTATTTGAACTAAACAACACATAGACAACTTGGCAAAGAGCTTAAGGATAGCTCAGCATTTTCATACTCACACAATGATTCCTGTTTCCCTTTTGCCTAGCCCCACCCTGAGAAGTATAATACATGTTAAAGGAGCCAAAAATGAGATCACGCCAGGACAGAGTTGTTCGTTGCCATCATCTGAGTCAAGGATGCAAACACTCTGATCCCCCCACTCCCCTTTTGTGAAAAACACACTCGGCCTCTTCTCGGTTTCCACTGTGGGGAAATTAAGTTGTTGGGATCCGTTCTAAGTTTTAAGGGAGCCTGGAAACAGAAGACTGGTGTTCTTCCCAGGATGTCTTATCCTTACGCCTCAGGGGCAATAAAGGGATTTCCCCGTAATTTACAAAGGAAATCTGAAATACCCTGTGAGCGCAAGCCACCCCCAAGTTCATTCTGCTCCTCCGTTCCTTGGAGTGAGTGGAGGCACGGCCGGCGCTCCGAGAGCTCTGCCGAAGGGTCGCGCTGGCACCGCACAGCGAGAAAGCCCTCTCGTGGAAACTGCCAGCATCAACCACCCGAGCGAGCCCCTTGGAGCCGGCACCATAACTGGCCCTGGCCCCTGCCCGAGAAGCTGCGGCTGCCCGGGGTGCCGTGGGTCTCCCTGGCTTCTCACGGCTCCCCCATTACCCTCTGGGCAGCGAACTGACGGTCCGCCTCCATCTGTCCCTTTCCCAAGGAGTAAACTACCCGTTCACCTGCATATCTCACGGGCTTAAACGCACAACGCGGGTAGCTGAGCAATTTGTAGCACGGGTCTGCCTTGCAGGAAGGGCAGAAATTTTATCTGGATTTTGACGGTAGTTTGCAACATCTCAGAGAAGTTAAAGCTCTTCCTTTCTCCTTCTCACCCCGCTACGCTTAAATTCGTGGCAACTGTACCACATGGTATTTTAGCTTACGCCAACAAAAACTGTACCGCGGCCACAACAAATATAGAAATATTAACTGCCTTCCAGGGAGGGTCAAACATTTGAATCATTTTAACATACTATACAAATACTTCAGTGAAAGCAGATGATAAAGAAGCGCATCTGTACATTATGCTAAAGATTCCTCCCAAATTATGAAAAAGATAAAGAAGGTACCTATTTCTCAAAATGGCATGCCTATCATTTGCTCTCAGTTTGTATACTTTTGTGACAGAACAACCACTGCTCCTTACAAAAGCACTAAGTACCAAAATAAGCCTTTTATTGGCAGAATCCATCGAACACTTGGATATATCTTGTTGAACTAATACAACTCTTTAACAACTCCATACACTTTTTACCCACTATCAAAAATCCAGGGTGAGCCCATGTTCACAATTTGCATATACCCAGCCAGGCACAGAACCATCTCCAGCACACTTCTGCCTAAGCAGCTTTGGTAGCCATTGGCTATTCAGTGAATTGTGTGCCTAGAGTCTATTATTTGTGTTCAAATTTTCTCTTATTATAGAAATACAAGCAGTAGTCAGGCCAAGCTTACTAACTGCTGAGAGAAGTACTAGAGAAAAAAAAAACAAAACCCAGAAATTATGATTATCAAACAGACTTCTCAGGAAAACAAACAGTCAAGCACAACGCATCTGAAAATGCTGTTTACTCACTCAATCTAACATTTAAATACAAAAATTATGATAAAACTTTAAGTGCCCAGTTGTTTAGGTTACAAAACCCCCATGTAGTACCTCACTAATATATTGCTGCAACTATAAATTTCAGTTAGACAGTGGGCACTGGCCCAGGCTGGTGGGATTGCAGATCAGCGAAGTGTGAAAGAAAAAATTCCTAGCGGGCCAGGCTGAAGTCAGAAAGATAGTTAACTCTCCCACCTTCCTCATCCGAACTTCCATGGTGGCAGCATACCCCAACACGCGACAGAAGCAGGACAGGACGCTCCGGTCACAACCTCCGAGCGCCAGCGGCTCCTCTACTTGCCTTTACGGGAAGAGGGATCCCAGAGGGATGGGTGTTGGGGGTGGGGGGGGCAACAGAATACAGAAATATCGAGGGCAGGCTCTGAGGCTCTCGGAGACGCTCCCGGGGCCCGACCCACAGAGTTGTTACCAGCTGGGCGAGTTCAACTGGCTCGGGCAGCCGGGGCGCCCACCCCGACCTCCCGTACTGTCGGGCTGGCTGGCATCTCAGCCCCGGAAACTTGCACGCCCAGCATCCCGGGGAATCACGGCGCGCCAGCACATCCCCCCCTCCCCCGGGAAAACAACTCGGCGGCGGAAGGGAGGCGAGAGCCGCCCCTCGTGGGTGCCCCCCGCCGGCACCATCGGGCGTCCCGGGGCAGCGGGAGGGCGATGGGTACCAAGCCGGAGCCGGCACCGCTGCCCGTGGAAGGGCTGCGCGCCCTGCGGGCACCAGAGGCGAAACCCCCCTGTTACCTGCCAACGCCCGCAGCAGCTCCCGCGGCTGCGGCTCCGGGAGACGGACCGAGCGGGCAGATGGACAGACGGACAGAGCGGCAGGCGGCTCCCGGCGGCGCTGGGCTCCCACTACCGTGCGCGCCCCGTGCCCAGCAGCCGCGGAGCGCCGGAGCCGCCAGCGCAGCCGGCTCCACCTCCCGGCCGTGCCCCCTCCTCCGCCCCCGCCCGGCCCGGCTCGGCCCTGCCCCGGCCCCCCGGCCCCGCCGGCTGGGCGCGCCTCTGCCCGCTCCGCCGCGCCCGCCCCGCCGCCGGCCCCTCTCGCCTGCCTCCTCCTTCGCCAGAAAACTTTCCGGGTGCCCTCGGCCGGAGCCGCCAAGGGCAGCCTGAAGCAACTCGTCCCTCCCGTAGCCGTGCCTCGCCGGCGTCTCCGCCGTTCGGGGCCGCGGGAGCGGCAGCCCGGGAAGGGCGGCCCAGAGGCAGTTTGCCTGGGATCTTTTGCTGCACATGATCCCTGAGCCCGCCGAGCTCTCAGAAGGCACCGAAGGCGAGCTGGCTAATCCCCGTCGGCAGGGTGACCCTGGTAACACCCAGTGGGCTTCTGATGCACCGGGAGGATCCCTGGGACGCAAAAGAATGAGACCAGAGAGGTGGGAGGGAGGTCATTCATTGACTGGTACCTCAGTGAGACCTGCCGAAATGCCTTCGAAGATCTGCCAGAGAAACTTCAAAGGATGACACTTCCAAAATGCATACCAAACTGAACGAAGAGCCCATGTTTGCGACACGGGAAAAGCCATCACTGCTAAGCCTGGTTTCCTAAGTAAATATGGCTTGTGCAGTTGAGTTCTCTGTGTGTGCCAATAACTTCTGAGCCCATTAAACAATTTTAAAACTGCTTGACAGCTATGAATTTCAGAAAAATAGGTAACTGTGTAGAAGAGGTTGTCTCTTTTACTGTTTTTGCGCATAGGGCAACTGCATCTCAAGTCCAACAGCATCTGATCAAGAAATCTACAGTGAGGTTCAATTCAACTATCCCTAGGGAAACTATACATCACTGGTCCTGATACTCAAAAAAATCCTTGCTGGGCTGGAGGGAAAGAAATTAAGAGCTGTGCAGAAGTAGCATGTTACTCTCAGTAACAATCAATAGCTCAGGAACAAGGGCATTAGTAAATTGGATGTTGCACTCTCATATAACAAAAGAGAGAACAATTCTTTAAGGGCCAGATCCTGCAAGTATGTAGACGTGTCCTTGTACTGATAAGAAGTCCTGTTTATTTCATGATGCTTTGCAAGACGTGGGATGCAGGTCTGGACTCTTAAAGCTTTGTAGAAGAACAAGACACTACAGGAATGTCTAACAGTGCAGTGTAAAGGAAAAATAGATGTGCCAGCATCTCATTAGAAATATCTCTGCTAATGTCTCATATATTTGGTAATGAACAGTTACAGGGCTCCCCAGGTGTAGATGTTTGTTGGCGTTGGCTTTCTTTTTTTTCCTAATGTAATATAAAAATAGAGTGATACACATAGAATTTAACAGTTATGGTTCCAAATCTATTTCTGCAAAATAGCAAAACTATGTTACAAAATCAGACCATATTTGTAACGTGTGTTTTGTTATAGTCTATTCTTTAAGACAGACAATCATTTCAGGGTCTGATATTTTCTTGTAATATCTGGACCCATGTTTTTCCATTTCTGTTTCGCTATTCATTTATTTGTGTCACACAGCATGATCCTAGCTCTCCTTGGTCTTTATGGCAGAGTAGGGGATTTCCATTTCTTTATTAGACACAGTTTGACACGAGGTAATAGCCTTGTTCCTCATTTGATTCCTTTGCAAAGGACTCAGAGTGCTATTTTCCAGGAGGCTGGCTTGTCATACCCCTTAAGCAGCAGATCATGGCTCTTTCAGGCAGAGATTACATTTGTGCTCTACAGAACTGTTCAACTGGGCTCCATTGGTCCTCCCCCTGCACCTTCCATAAAAATCTCACATGTGCACCCCTGCACTGTCAAGGACTGTTGCAGAACCCCACATGCCAGGGAATTTTGCTGTGTATCAGTGAATAAACCATGAAAATGTGTATGTATCTGTCTAGCTGCCCAACTCCCACCCTTGTTTTTGGGCCTTACGCACAGATCTCATGCAGAGGTTTTCTTGTAAACCGACTGGGCTTAGTCCTGCCCAAAACGCTACGGTTTTAAACAGCTCCAGATTCTATAGGCAAGATCCCTTCCTCATCAGGGACAGTCTTGGCATTTCTTCAACAACTGCCCCCTGCCCCCTCCAGTGACATCATTATTCTGATATTTTGGAAAGAAAAGTGCAGGGTGATGTATCCAAAGACTTGTGTGTATTTTCTGTTTTCCATCCTGATTCTATGAAACTGTTTTGTAAATGAACAAAAGTCAACTATATGTGACCCCAGCTTTCAAATCTTCCACATCCTCGCATAGACACAATAGTGCTCTTACATGCTCAACTGTGCAATTTAAGGGGCCAGTATTGCAAATTAGCTTCCCGAGTTTATAGTGCTTTCACTATCATGAAGGAATTGCTTTGTGAATCCCTGCCAACACTGAATTGAGTTTTACGTTTAAAGCTGGGGTTTACATTCTTTGTTGTGTGTAAAGGATATAGTGTATTCTCTGTGAATTTAAAGCATAACAACAATCTCAGATAAAGCCAATTTTATGATAGATAAATATGCAAGAAGGCTGGTTTACTTTTTTTCTGATAAATACATTACTGAATTGAAATCAGAACACAGGAGAAGTTCCATGGTTTAGCCCAAAACACTAAAGCCACTTTCTCCTGTTTCAGAAGTGCCTAGAGCTGCAGCCATCCCACTGTCTGGAGGGTCTGTCTCTCCAATATTACATCATATGTATCACAATACAAAAAGCCTTTCCGTCACACTTCTGATAGGCTTGAGTTTTCAGAAGCAGAAACTGGAATGTTGAGAAGCCATGAACAATTCAGGGCAGGTTCCTCACAGGTATAACTGTATGGAGTTTGAGAGAATTGAATTTCACTCCATAGAGCTAACCCATTACTTATGAACCCATTCTTGTCTGTGCTTCACATATTAATTCCCAGCTTCACAGTTTCCCTGTTGCTTCCTTCCCTGGACTCCCCACCTTTCCTCCTACTTCCTTTGCCTTCAGACTGCTCCCTTTCTTTTCCTGTTATTTTCTCTCAGTATTTCTACTAACACCTTTTCCAGTTTGCTGTGAAGGCAGATAAAGCAGAAATCCACCCCTGATACAGCTTGGCTGTGATTCCTAGAGCTGGACTGACATGCAGACCAGCTCATTGCCTAGGCAGATGGGCAGAGGAAACTCTCTGGCATCTGCATGCTGGAACCCGAGTACCAGTCTATTTCCAGATAAACATAGCACATTCCAGGAGCAATCTGCGCTCAGTAGAAATCACAGTGTTATTAACTCTGCCATGAGACTGAATGGCACTTCTGAGAGTGCAAAACAAACAAGGTCTCAGCCACAAAGAGCTTAAGATGACAAACTGACTGTCTGAACCTGATCACCTGTTCCCAAATAAAGATAGCAAAGTAAAAGATCTTGTTTTTCTGAAATGTCAAGCACTTACAGTGCTGACTGAAGTTACACTGATCATTATGCTCTCTCGCCTGCTATCAAACTGCTTTCCCAGGGCCCCTCCATCAGGCCTGGGAAAACAGCATGAGGGGGCAGTTGATGTACTGGTAGCGAGAGGTTTGTTCAAGCTTCGTTATTAAAATCATAATTAAAACCTTGCTAGTGTATTTTTCAACCTAGTTTTGCTTTCCCAGGCTCAGCTGGGAAAACTGAAGCTAAATTGTTTATGAATTGGTTTCTTTGTCAATATTAGCATTTCCCAATCATTTCCATCCAAGCAACAGCTAACGTTTTGGAGAAAAAAATATCATAACCCTCCTTCATGCAGCTTTGCCATGTTTTTTGTTTTTTATTTTTGTTTTCTAAATCAAGAACTAAGCAGCATTTTGAATATTCATTTACAGATTTATTTTTTCCAGCTTTGTTTTCACATTCACTAGATTACATGGTACCATACATGTATATTCTTCTGAAGTGAAAAAGCGTGTTTTGTGATCATTTCGTATATTACCTTCTCATGTCTTTCAGACCCACAGACCGCAAGATGGGAAGCAGGCTTCCAGGGCAAACAGGGCAAGAGACATGCTTTTCTTAAGATTATCCAACCCATGAACAACAGTTTATGCTCACTGAGATACTCAAAGAGCTAGACATAATTTTCCTAAATGCTTTCCTGCCCACCTCCCTCTATCCTTGTCTTTGAAGTTGCAAGATTACACAAAGGAACTGGCAGCAGTGCCTAAACCCAAATTGCAGCAGCAATGATTGAACCAACGCTTGGATTCTGCCCAGAAAAATCTCAATTAAGAGAATTCTTTGTAATAATTGTAATATTCAGCATTGAAGGGATACTTTTAAAGCAATATGAACATATTTAAGATGACAGCCATTTCCACAGGTAACAGTAGGTAAAGCTGTATATTACTGAACTAAAAAAAAAAAAGAACCAAAAAATATCCTGTCCACTGTTTGCTTCCCCCTCCTGAAGTTTCCTAAAATGCAGATTAAGCCAAAAAGCAAGATTTCCAACTGCACATCTTTTGAGAAAATTCTCAACGTTCATATTTCCTCTGAAATTTGCAGCTGAGATTTTTCTGTACTTCTTGATGCCTGTCTGGAAAGTAACTTTGTTTCCTACGGTCATTTTAGAAATTTTCACTAAAGAGGGACAAGCAAAATGGAGGCCCCCACCGTGCCAGGAACCCCACAGTCCCCTTCCCCGACATGTTTAAATATGACAAGAGACAAATACAGAGGAACAGTTATTCTCATTTACAAACAGGAAATTGAGGCACGAAGAATGAATGCTGAAGAAGTACTAGAGGTCTGGGGGAGCTCCAGGACACGAGCTAGGAGATGCTGGATCACAGACAAGTGCCTTACTCATCAAAACATCTATCCTCAAATGCTTTAACTCTTCTTGGCAACAAGAACACAAAGGGAGGAGGCTCAAATGCACTTTTAAAACTGTAGATGACACTAAAATCCTGAAGCTATTTTTATTCTTAT